CTTTGGGATTAGAGCACTGGCATCTCCTCCTCTAGGGAATCCTTTATAGCACCACTCTCCCCACCCAGAGGCTGGCGTAGTCTCCCCCCGCCTCCCCCCCCATGCCCTGTGACTGTCTGCTGTATCAGAGCTCCCAGAGGGCGGGGCCTGCCAGGCAGGGATCCTCTGACGAAAACGTATTTAAAAACCTAAAATGGGTATTTGCAGTCTATGAAATCTCTTTCCTCTATGGCTCTTTGTGAGCCTTCAAAGGCCATGTTCCAAATTCTGATTTTCTGGCTTATTCTGTCTGGTCATAGTCCCACGGTTTCTAGTGCTATCATGCAATTTGACAATCTGTAGATCATGGGCTTTTAATTAGCATGTTGATCAATCAGAACCAACTGCTGCCACCAGGAAAGGCTGCAGCAGGCCTGTGCCTCTTCCTCCCTGCAAATCTAAGGGAAAGGTGCCAGGACCATCCTTTGAAGATGTTGCTAACTTGCATAAACTATCATTATAACGATATGCATTCTTTTGCAATATTCACAGTGCTTTCGTGTATAACAAAGGACAGGTAGATATAATTCGGTACATAAGGCTTTAAAGCAAATGGGCTTGGAGTGAGGAGACCTGGCTGCAAATTCTGGCTCAATCACAACCTTTGCTACTCCGGACAAATCACTTACCTTAGCCTCGGTCTCCTCACCTATAAAATGGGTACAATAATATCCACTCTATCCTGCAGGTTTATTATTAGGCTTACCTGAGACACTTCCTAACTTTTCCCACTTCATAGAAAAGGATAACTTTTGTTTAGCACCCTGGGGTAAATGCAAAGGCTTTGAGGCTGGAGGTGATCACTTCTGGACTCTAGCTGCCCTGCCTGACTATCCCAAGGGCTGAGGGGATTGATATCTTTATACATTTGTACACCAGTTGGGAAGTTCTGCTCTATGAAAATACTTAAAACAACCCTTAGCCGTATATCTATACTCACATTCAACATTCATAAATATCCTCCTGTTTTACATCTCTACATAAAGTGCTAGAACAGAGCTACCCTACGACCCAGCAATTGCACTACTGGGTATTTACCCCAAAGATACAAATGTAATAATCTGAAGGGGCACCTGCACCCCAATGTTTATAGCAGCAATGTCCACAACAGCCAAACTATGGAAAGAGCCCAGATGTCCATCGACAAATAAATGGATAAAGAAGATGTGGTATATATATGTATATCTACAATGGAATATTACACAGCCATCCAAAAAATGAAATCTTGGGGCGCCTGGGTGGCTCAGGGGTTAAGCATTTGCCTTCGGCTCAGGTCATGATCCCAGGGTCCTGGGATCGAGCCCCACATCGCGCTCCCTGCTCGGCAGGAAGCCTGCTTCTCCCTCTCCCACTCCCCCTGCTTGTGTTCCCTCTCTTGCTGTGTCTCTCTCTGTCAAATGAATAAATAAAATCTTTAAAAAAAATGAAATCTTGCCATTTGCAATGACGTGGATGAACTAGAGGGTATTATGCTAAGCAAAATAAGTCAATCAGAGAAAGACAATTATCATATGATCTCACTGATATGTGGAATTTAAGAAACAAGGCAGAGGATCATAGGAGAAGAGAGGAAAAAATGAAACAAGACAAAACCAGAGAGGAAGACAAACCATAAGAGACTCTTCATCTCAGGAAACAAACCAAGGGTTGCTGGAGGGGAGGGGGGTAGAGGGATGGGGTGGCTGGGTGGGGGGCACTGGGGAGGGTATGTGTCGTGGTGAGTGCTGGGTGTTGTGTAAGACTGATGAATCACAGACCTCTGCCCCTGAAACAACTACTACATTATATACTAATAATAATTTTAGAAAAGAAAAACAAAAACAAAAAACAAAAAAATAAAAAAAAGTGCTAGAACCTCGGCCCATGGCCATCACGTGGCAGAACATGAACAAGATCCCAAGCTCTTGTCACCTTGGATGTAGTCTGTCTCAATACTGTGCTTTCAATCATACCTCATCCCTAAAATTAGTGATTTGGGGGGGGGGGGGAACCACCACCTGACCAATCACTATGGTGATAATTTAGAGGAGTGGAATATTTTGTTGCCTTCAACTCACAGCCAGATCACTTGAAGCTGTAGGAAGGCTGGCAAAATTTCTATCAGCGAGCTAACCATGTTAAACTTGTTCCTGCCTGTGTTCACGTCCATATCGATATGCACATGTCTGCCTCCTACTCTGGCCATAAGAACCATTAAACCTAGGTCTGGAGCTTCCACGTGCCGATGAGGGTTACAGTAGTACCTAGATTATACAGTTGTTGGGAAGAACACGATCAGTTAATGTATGTGAGGTGCTTAAAAGAGTCCTGGGCAGACTTTATAAGTGAAGCACTCTACGCATATTTATTATGATTCAAAACAAACCTTATCAATCCATTGTAGAGAGATATAGGGACAAAACATAACAACTGTGCTCCGGAGAATTCTTTCACACAGATGTATCATTTGACTCTAGTACTCAAATAGCAGCAGGGGCATCTGGGAGCTTTGAGAAATTCAGAGCCTCACATCTATGACATTAGAATCTGCATTTTAACAAGATCCCCAGGTGACTTGTGAGCGAACTCAAGGTTGAGAAGTGCTGCATTCGAGTACTTCAAGGCTTATGTGGAGACCCTTGGGTCAATTGTATTTTTGGTAGGAATCATGCAAAAGCGGTACTGACTCAGAAAATCTGCTCTTATTGATGTATTCAGAATGTAGGTTGGGGGGTGAGGGCTGGCGACCACGTGCATGCACTTCCCCAGTCAGAAGGCAGCCCCATCTGAATCGAATGAAAGGCTCTGTGCAGGGGACCATGACAGCATACATCAGCACGGATCCATCAGAGGAACAGTCTGAGATCCTGTCACTGTTCTGGCGTGTTTGAGGGGGAGGAACAAATAGGAACACAACACTTCACAAAGGAGGCGATATCATTAGGAAATCTGCAATTTGAGAAAGGAACATTAGGAGTACATATAGGGAAAGGAGGAAGTCACTTACATTAACCCAGGGATGCTCAAGGACTTGCACAGCCGAAAATCGCTGATCGACATCGACCAACAGCATCATGGTGATGAGCTCCTGTGGAAGGGAACGTTTGATTCCATTTGTCTCATTTTTATGGTAAAATTCTGAGCATTTTCATATGTGGAAGTTCTCTTTTAGTTTGGAAAAGCTCTCAATTTTAAATATATCAACTCAACTTACGCACAGCCATCTAACACCTTTAGAAGTTAAAGGTGAATACTTAGAATTATAAATATATGGCTTATAGTTGGGAGAAAAAAATGAAATGAAGATTAAAATAAAAGTGTATTAAAGTGTATTTAGTAGAGAAGAAATAGATTATATAAGTTAAAGAATTCATATTCCTTTCTTTGTCTAGAATTTCACACTTGAATGGCAGATTTCTAAGTTAGTTTAATACAGAAATCTGTTAACATTGCTTCAAAAATTTCCACATTAATCAATACCAATAAAATGGAACTATTAAGAGGCAAATGATTTAATGGTTCTGAAATTAATGAGACCTCCTCATGAGTTCAAAATGATTTGGACCAGGAAAGCACAGCTTGGGTTTTAATGATGAGTCTGTCATACATTTGTCCACTTCGGATTAGAAGTTCCCATGTAACAAAATGGTTAGATATGTGTTATCCAGTTCCTTACATTCACGGTCTGAGTACCATTCCATGATGAGGATGATTTATTTCCACTGATGTAGAGATTCTACCTTAAAGTTCTCATTATGTTCTTTTCTTGCTTCAGGCTGCTTTGTGCATGAAGGCATTCATTCAGTTTCCAACATGGGCCAGGACTTATTAAAGCAACTATTTGGTGTGATGCCCTTTGCCAGGTGGCATGGGGGTGTGGGAGATGGTCCTATCTGTCAATGACTTTGAGCCCTCTTGTTATGAGTGACAGCACTGAGAGGTAGATTGGTTCCTGAAGAGATTGCTCACAGGCAAAAAGACCTCTACCCCCACAGAAAAAGTCAGGTTTTAAATTGAACTCACACTCAGGACACAGAGAAAGGAAAGGCATACACACTGAATAATCAAAAGTCAATTATTTCTCAACATCAAGTTTTCAAAAATTTAAGTCAATGCTTGGAGACATAAGGTTAAGGACTCAATTAAAGAGTTTTCTTTTTTATCTCAAGTTCTACCAATGTCTCCATGTAAGATTTTTAGTTTTCTTAGAGGTTGCTCTCTTATTCATTCATTTTAATACATGTTAAGCACTCGTTATATACTGGTTACTATATAGGCATTGATGATACAATAATAAACAAAATACACAAAAATCCTTGTCTTGATGAAATTTGTGTTCTAGTGGGAGAAAATTAGAAAATAAATGACATAAGTAAGATGTATCTGCCTATCTATATCTACTTATCTAGAAACGTAGACAGAGAAAGATAGTTAGATGGTATACCAGAAGGACATGTGGGTATAAGTCCTACAGAGAAGAATAAAGCAGATGAGGAAGATAAGGTGAGCTAGATAGATTAAAGACCTGCAACTGAAAACAGGGTGGTCTGGGAAAGCTTCCCTGAGAGGATGAAATTGAGTCGAGACCCAAAAGAGATAAAGCCATAAGCTATGTCAAAATCTAAGGCAGCCTGGTGTGCGTTGGGTATAGCAAGAGGCTATAGCAACATAATTGGAGTGACAACAGGGAGTGATGAAGACAGGGAAACAGAGACCACTTGATAAGTTGAGATGGCTACGAACAGAAGACTTGATGACTGTGAACTCTTGGAAAACCTGGTCATTATAACCAAAATGGACAGAAATCTTATTTACAACATCATTAGGTCTCTTTGCACAAAATGAGTCAAAATCAATAATTGCATTAAGACACACAGGCTCTCAGGAAAAGGGAAGGCACTGGAAACCTACCTTTGCTGAATCAGAAATGTTATCCCAGTATGGAGAGGGAAAGTCCACTTGCCCCATCAAAATCTGATCGAAAAGCACCTCCTGGTCATCACCGCTTCTGTTTAGATGAACCACAACAAGGAAAAAAACAACACTAAATTGTCAACCCAGGGTATGTCTCTTCACTCTTATGCATTCAAGCCCTTCCTTTCCCCATAAATGTGTGAAATGTGTGTTTTTAAGCCATTCAAAATGTCAACATGGAACTGTCTTGGACAATTAGGAAAGAATGAGTTTTTTAAATTATATGAGGAATATTTATGGAAGGCATGTAAATGAGTATGTACAACACAGAAAAAATAACAGGCACTGGAAGTCAAATTCTTATGTTCCTTTCCTGCTTCAGGCTCCTTTGTGCAAGAAGGCGGAGTGGATCACTCAGAGAACACAGAAATGCTTTGTTGGTGCTGAGTAAAAGATGACTGCCCGTACCCACGGAACGGAGGGAAACCGCACAGCAGGATGTAAGTGATTACACCAGCTGCCCAGATGTCCACCTTGAGGCCATATCTGCAAAAGTAAGTGATGTTAGAGTTAGCAAAAGTCGGGCCAGGACAAATTATGGGACATTGGCAAAATAGATGACTCTACTATTCTAAACCAAAAACCAAGCTAAACAAAATTTAAAAACCCAACAACAAACACTAACCTAAAACCCACCAGCTAAACAGAATTCAAGGAAAGAATAAAAAAAGAGAGAGAGCAAGGGAAAGAGAATAAGACATATGAATAAAAATCGAAGTAAAGCATGCCTAGGATCATATCCAAGTATCAGTAAGTGAGAGGTTTCATCAAAAAGGTTTATTATAGTCATATCAATTTTAAGATAGGGATGGACCCTTGAAACTCTCTAAGTCCCTGATGTTAGAAAAAAGTAATTACATACAGGACATTTTCCAATTTGTAAAGCACTGATATATGTTATCTTATGCTGGTTTTCCAACCACTCTTTACATTACACAGGATAAGTACTATTGCCTATTTTATAGAGGAGAAAACCAAGGATCCGAGGGGTAAATAGTTTTGCTCAAGATCACACAATCAGTGGCAGACAGAGCTGGGTTCCAACCAGGGCCTCCAAGTGCCCAGCTCAATCTTCTTTCTCCCCGGGGCCCCTCCCACCCAGCAGGCTGTCAGAGTACTCACGCCCTAAAACTAGAAAACGTAGCCAAACCCGAGGCAGCATGCTCTGAGGGAGGTCAGGCAAGGTTACAGATGTGGGCTCCCAACTCACTCAAATTTGATGAACAAAAAAGTCTCCATTACCCTACCTCCCACCTGAGGGATTTCCTGGCTGGCATTCCCTTCTCCTCTATTCTGTTCTTCTGCCTTTCTGGTCAATAGTCAAGCACTAAAACTATCTCTGATGGGTCACCGGAGGATAAAACCTAGACCCTGAGGTGTGCGTTGGCGCCACTCATCGAGGGGAGACAGTAAGGCCGTCTCCCCTTGCTGCACCACCCTTCCCCAATCCTCCCGTGTTAGACTAGTGCTTCAGAACTTGGCCTACGATCCTTGGCAAGAAATAGGACTCTTTCCACAAAGAGCCCTTTATTCACACAACCCCGAGTTCAAATGCTGACTCAACCACTATCTAGTCATGAGCTTCCATGATACCCAACCACCGCAGAGAGATTACTCATGCGCAAAATGGGAATCATACCGTCTACTGGAAGAGTGAAGAATCAAGTAAAGGAGCTTAAGGCCTGGCAGAGGGTAGGTCCTTAATCAGTGTTAGGCCACCCACCTTCTCCCCCTATTCTAGAGATTTTCATTCATCTTATACTGCTGCACACAGAAACCAGAAAATTCCCAGTGGCCCTCTGATGCCTAAGGGTGTTTGTACTGCACAGATAATCAATGGACCGCCAAGACAGCCAGAATGAGATCGGGAGAGGAGCATAAGGACAGCTGAGAGAAATAACCACAGGAGACTGTAATCACCGCACACAGCAGTGTCTGTTTCTTTTATCCAAAAGCGAGTTAATTACCATCGCTATATGTTTCTCTGTTAGTTCGGAACATTTTTTACTCTGGGGTTAATAACTGCTGTTCTACCTTTAACAAAGGCCACATGGAAGCCTTGAACAAGACTGCAGTAATTGGCAACTTGATTGGGGAAAACAGAGAAAATGGCTCTCACTTTAAAGTTAAAAAGAAAGAAAGAAAGAAAGAAATCTGATAGCTAATTCTGTCTGGATGGGACAGGGCGGTTTTCTCCTATTCTTGAAGCAGACTAGTTCTTTGGCAAGCACAGCACTCCAATAAGCCACGGGAAGCATTTACCCAGTTTCCGCGATGATTTCTGGAGCCACGTATGTCGGGGTGCCACAGACCGTATACAGGGGGCCGTCTACAATGGTGGCCAGTCCAAAGTCACCCAGCTTCAGCGATTTGCTGCCATCTTGGTGTTCGTACACCTAAAGTAAAAGTAAAGAGTGGAATCGCCTTACAACCAAGAGCTCAAAAGCTCCTTCTTGAAGGAACGAGAGGCACTGTGGTTTAAGTTTAAGGTATTTATCATAAAGTGAAAAAAACAGGCAATTATGCAATGATATACATATAAGAATATCTTTTTTTTAGATTATTGCAGAATTGGAAACATGGTGAACAACCAGCAAATGGAAATTCAACAATAAATGATGGTGTGTTGATATAGTGGGATGCTACATGACCATTAACGTGGTGATGTGGGTATGTCTATTGAAATAAATTATTTTGGCGAAGGACAGATTTCAGACTGGTTTGCATAAAAGGTGTGCTAAAGAAAAAAAATACATGCAAAGAAAAATGTCTGAAAGAACACAGTGTTAGTGTGTCTGTCTCTGGGTGGTAGGATTACGAGAGATTTTTTTCTCTTTGCTTATCTGTATTTAATGTTTTCTACAATTAAAACTGATTTGTGTAATACAATGAAATATAGAAAGTCTCTAGTGCAGTACCTCCAATTTATGAGAATATTACCTCTCCATTTTAATATGTAAGAAGCTTTAAAAATACAGTTCTTTAGTAATTGAACAAAAAAAATCTACACGTATATTAAAATACTTCATTTTCAGTGGCCCACATTTCCAACAAAATCTATTTACATTTTTTTATTAATAATTGAAAGGGATATTAACATTTCATTTCACCTGTGGCAATTTGGAAAGATTTATCAGGTGCAGAGTCAGCATTCGGTCCAGCTTTCCTTATTAAGGCAGTAAAAGTCTCTAGTCTTTCACCCAACAAATCAAGAAAAGGATGCATGTGACCATAGGCAAGTATTTATACCGCTTTAATTCCAGCCCATGATCAAACCAAATGGGTTTGCTCTAAAGAGTATCCCAAACCACTTCTACTGTTTCAAAGAAAAGATCAAAGGGCATTCAGAATTCTAATTCAGGGTCCTCCATTGGAATCAATAAGATAAAGAAGACCACAGTAGAAAGCTAGTATTCCCAGCAAAGGCAGGAGATGCCTTGAGGACATGGTGAGGTTTTTCACGTACATCAAAATAATTCATCCAGCAAGTAGAAGCCTGCATGTTCTTTTCTTGTTGCCTTGTGATCATCTGTACTTGATACAGCAGCCTGAACCTCTAGCACAGCAAGACGCATCTCCACACATCAGGAGCCCCACTACCGTGAACACACACCACGTCTCCCTTTCTTTGGAGAAAGTAGATTAACTTCCCATTTCCCTGCAGCTTCAAGTGCAGATGTTTGGCCAGCTAAGCGGCAGCATCAGCATCGATCATTTGGATCTAACTGTTTTGGCAGAGGCAGGGAGTCAGATCTTCCCTTCTGGAGAGACCGTGTCTTTTCTGCGCAGAAAATAGTCTTTTACATTTTCTCCACACTCAGAAGGTGGAGTCTTCTCCTTAAGGGCTTGACCACCATCTAGTTTGGGCCCTTGGGCAGGTGCCTACAGGCTTGTAGGGTCACCTGCATGTAGGCTGTTAGGGCAAAGACAGCTGTGTGCCCCTCGTAGATGTGGCTTTGCCCAGTTGTCATCTGGGATGGGCACTGTCCTCCCTCCTTTAACAAAGCAGCTCTCCAGCCCACCAGCAGGAGCGAGTTTGAGTTAGGGACGCTGAAACATGAGAGCTGCAAAGCACAACGTCATCCCCAGCCTAAACGTTCTTGGGCAAAAAAAAAAATCCCTAAATTGTAGCCTTAGCACCTCCACCCTTCTGGCCATCCAAGTGACAAGCAAATGTTTTTCATGAACAGAAACCTGAGATGGAAACATCTAGAAAATTATCTAGTTGACTTCCCAGACAGAGCAGAATTGTTTACTTCCTTAATTCCATTTTGTTAGCAATAACCTTTCTAAAATGCAAAATAATCTCTGGCTTTGATGTTCTGTTAGGTCCAAACAACCATGGGCTGTGTTTTGGGAGGTCGTGCAGATTTCAGTTTACACAACTCCATTTACACAGGAATTTTGTGGGTTTCCTCTAAACATACTATCTATAATCACCTAACTGGATTCAAAAGTTGGATGAAAGGAGATGTTGGCAGATCCAGTCATAAGTCACATTTTGGTTCTGAGTATGACCACGTAATTTTCCTACACGTAGCAAAGGTTTTATTTTTGAGCATCTACATTTGAACAGGAATTCCACCTCACATACAGCCATATGCCAGTTGTATTTAATATACTGAGCAATAAAGTTCAAAGTTTCAATTCCTAAGGGGGGAAAAAAGCACCAAAAAAGTCTAACCTAAAATAAAGAAAATTAGGATTACATAAAAGTAATAATTCTTTCAAATAAACCAACAACATTTAAATAAAACACACAGAATCTATCCTTTTAATGTTCTTTTTCCCTCTATCACTTCCACAATGTCCCCTTCCTCTGCTTTGAAAAAGCATACAGAATTTTCATGAACATAAAGAGGTTAGCGTGATGCTTATGATAGACAATAAGAATGAGAGACAAAGGCCTAATCCATGTAATTGAAAACATTTCTGGACACAACTACATTAGCAATGCTTCAGCAAAATGTTTTTGCAGGTGAATAAATGTCCAGGCCTCTTGTTTGGAATTCTGTTTAACTTACTTACTGTCAAGCAGGGCAGGAAACAAGGTTGCTTTAGGTTTTTCTCTGTCAACACTTCGGGAGAAGGATACAGAAGAATATATTCCAGTGTTTCCTCTCCTCCGATGGGAGAGCACCTTTCCTAAGCAGTATAATGAGACCACCTCACAAATGGGGTTCCCCATTAGCACTTGCTGCAACCTGAGCTGGGCTCACCCTTATCTCTTACCAAGCCACTTACGGAGGGGAACGAGTGAGGCCATTTAAAAATGTAATTAAAACTCTATTAAAATCATAGATTGCTAAATACATCTGTTTCAAACACACATGCATGAGCGAGCACATACACTCACACACACACACACACACACACACACACACATTCACAAAACCCTCTCCAGAAAGTATTTTCCCAAATGGCAGCTATAAATTTACTTTGAACTAAGTTTTTAATTAAAAGTTAGGAATGGGAAACGCCTCTAACAAGTTCACATTTAAAATGTGGAGTCCCTGGTATATACCACTCCCTGAACCGATTCTGACTTTGTTCCTCTGGATGTATCCCTGTCCTGACCATGTTACAGGAGGGACATTAACAGGCTGCAAGCACAGGCTTGGACAGCCTGATCCAGCAAGTGGGCTTCTGGTGTAAAAAAAAAAAAAAAAAGAACTTTTTGCTATGACTGTATTTTAAAGCCTCCGTAAAACATGACCCACAAGTAAGGTGGGAGTCCATTGATTGTCAATCAATGAGTATTCACAACATGAGATATAATTTAATATTCATCCCAAGCCCTTTAAATACTATAGATGTTCCCCCACATTTTAAACACTGAGGGGCTATTAAAGAGACGGGGATTAGTGCAAATTACCAGTATGCAGTGCTTTCACTGTTTTAACTAAGCAATAAAACTGTGTAATTGTACAACACTAATTGAATGCAGCTACACATAATTGTGGGCTGCCATATGTATCCTATTACCATAAAGATTGTCAGTATTTTGTAAGCTACTCTTGTGATCATTGCAGATGGCTACAGTCAGAGAAGTTGTTCTCTAGGGTTTATTATATGGCTATAAAGACATCCCATGATTTGACAGACTAAATGTGTTAAATGGCAACAATTATGAAAAAAAGGTTCCAATTAAAAGCTGAAGGCATATCCCACCAAGAATAGATATAGGGAAAGGTCAGGTATTAGGTTTTCGGCACACTGGCATTTTACACAGGGTTTTTCCTTTTTGAAGAAGAGTTTTCTTTTTGTTTCTTTTTCGTTTATTTAGGGTTTTGCAGTAGCTGTAACTTGCTGAACAGTAGATGTCTGGGCATAGGCCTGATTTCCTTTGGATTAGAAACTGAGACCATTTGGAAAAGTTATTTGAAAAAACAAAAAAATTTAATATATAGTCATAAAATGCAGCTGGTGGCCATAAAATAATATGAAAATTCACAGATAACCTGAACCCAGGCAAATGGTTTCTGAGATTCCCATAATAGAGAACTAAAACCTGACTAATATAACAGATGTGTTGGAACAAACATAATTCTCAGTGTTGCTGTCAATTCAAGGATAACCCTGTTGAAATGCTGGCTAATGAATCATTAGTATCCACGAAATATTTTTCACAGAGGAGCTCAATAGGTACTAAAAATAATTTCACCAAATAGAACTGAACAAAAGTGGCATGAAATTGACAAGGCCATGAAAAAAAGTCAATATACTTTTTCACAACTATGGTATCCCTTTAAAAAGACATTGATTTTCCTCTGGCCATGGTATATGACCTTTATAGTCCTTTCTAAGGAAAATGAATTAAATTTAAATCTTTACTCTTAAAGAAGTGAAGTAAAACAACATTAATGCAGGAAATTATTTTACAAAATGCACTTTAGGGTCCACATACTTTAAAATTAAACTTCCCGGCGGGGGGGGGCGGAATTAATTCTTAAAAAAACCAAACCCGCTTTATACCCACGTGTAAAATCTTTGTGAAATCAAACGTTAAATGAAATAAGAAGAAGAGTCAACATTGTATAGAAGTCAGAAGAGAGGTAACAATATCAGAGGGAGAACTAAAACAGCTTTCAAAGTATTACTGTAGAGACATCTGGGAAGATGGAGGATGAGTGGGAACTCCAGGAAACCCAATTCCCATCCTCACTTTAAAATAGTCATGAACTATCTAAAGAGGAGTTCTATGTAGTGGCAGTGAGACCGGCATGTTCTGGATCCTGGGAGCCAGTGCACATACCAGCCTTTTGCGGAGACTGTGGGAACTCAGTGCCGTTGCTCTTTTTAAAACTCGTATTACATTTTTGTCACACAAGTAATATCCAACATGTCATTGTAGGAAAATTAGAAAAGACAGATAATTATAGAGGGAAAGGAATTA